GAGAGCTGTTGGATCCACACCAACGATACAGGAGACCGCAAACAACGTTTTTTGTTAATTAACACAGCAAGTGTGACACTAGGTAACTTTTTTTTTTTTTTAATACAGTACATGGTACACAGGGTCCCCAAGATAGCCCTGCATAAACCCCTCGTGAAGACTTGAGCCAAGCACTGGCTGTTTATAAAAATATTGTGTTGCTACAAAAGTATAAATTAATGCTACCGGTATTAAGAAATATTAAACACATAAAACTTATAAGGATTAAGAAAAATATTCATTAATACCTGTTCCCAGAAAACCCTTAATAGGGGAAACTGGGAGGGAAACACAAGAGGGAAAACACTGTATCATTGGTTCACCATAACTGGCCTAGCAAACATTAGCCACAGTGAAGGGAGAGGGGCAGCTTCCTTCCCAGTCCTCCCACTGGCCCAGCTGGAGATGGGGGGATAGGGCAGGGCTGGGTCAGGAGCTTCCCCATCTACTGTCTCCAGGAGACAGCCTGAGCCTGACTTAGTCTCTTAGTTTTGTGACACCATCGGCCTTTCTAGGAGCCCTCCTTCAGATACATCCCAGAGACAGAGGCACTGCCACCGTTCCCAAGGCAAGGGCAAAGCAACGAACTTGGCACAGCGCATTGGAGCAGGAGGATGCTGCGTGTTGTGCCCCATGTACCTCTTCTTCAAGCACATCTGTCATGATCACAAGATCTGGGTAGTGTCCCCTACTGGGCCACCTCACAGAGCCTCCCTTCTCCATCCACATCCCAGCTTCATTTCAGGTGACCCTGTGGACCTGCAGAGAGTATGTGTTGTCCCTGACATCTCTCCAGGTACCCTCTCCGAGTCTAGCTCAAGTCCAGGGAAGCAGGTGGCCTTGCTCAAGAAGAGGGAACTTGTAAAGGCAGAGGTTTGGCATCACAGTGGAAAACATGCCTTGCAGATTTTTCTCTGGTGTTTCTTCAAAGTGCAGGAGATAAAGAGCCAAAGTGAAAGAGGACTTTATTTTGATACATACCTGGTATCAAAAACAAATTCCTTCCTAGAAGCTTGGAGACCCATAACTTCTCGTCCGTGTCACTGGACTGCCCCTCTCTCTTCACCAGGAAACCTTGGTGCCCCTTCCCCAGCCAAGAGCCAATCCCCAAATGCCAAGCATGAAGTTGTCAGGTGGGATGGTGGCGAAGCTTCCTCACTCGTGATACAGCAGGTGGCTTTCTGTGCTGTGAGCCCCCAGAGGTGAAACATGGACAGTTTTGCTCAGGTGGTACCTGTTTTGGTTCCTGGTTTCTAAATACGATCAGAGGGAAGCCTGGCTGGTAGACCCAGGCATCAGGAAAGTGAGAACTGTGCCAGGAACAAGTGCATCTGCCCAGGACCGGGATGGCACCTTTGCTCTTGGTGGGCCTGAGACCTCTTGGGCTATTTCAAATCCGAGGGACCACCCACAATGCTGCAGTCCTTGGTTTGGGCCTTGTTGGTGAAGCAAACTGACCTCAGATGAGGATGAAAAACCTGATGACTGGAGATGTGTTTTCTCCACCTCCTCTGTTGGGTCCATGATGTCAAAACAAAGGCCATTTCTGTCCTGGGCATCACATGGCTTGACGTGAGTTGTATCCAAGTCAGCAGGTAACCACCTTGAGCTGCCGAGAACATGATAGAAATGGCCCAACTTCCTGGCTCCCAGCCCCTCAAAGACCTGTAATGGAAAGACCTACAATGGTCACAAAACTGGGAAGCAGAGGACAAAATCTTTCCAAAAGTCAAGGCCAGGTCAGGCACCGGGAGATGAACTAGAAGATCCTGTTTCAATCCTTTGGCTGAACTAGAATTTGGTAAGGTGGATATTGCTGGAAATCAGGGGGCCAGTGGCTGGGCCTGTGAGATCTTTGGGTATTATGAAGCTGTTTGTTGCAGCAGGATTTGCACTATGGGAATGGCCTGCGTGAGAAAGCAGACTGAGGGCACCTTAGGACAGCCTTTCCTGTTGGCGATGACAGTTTCTGGGGAACCAGAGATTGCAAGAGAGAAATGACCACCTGCCACCACCTTGTTATCAATCTGGATGAGGCAGCCCCAGGAGGCAGCTTTCTGAGCATTTAGTGGCATTCACACCAAACCTACAGAGTCCAGGCAAGGCCTAAGGATTGAACTGAGGTGGAAAGGAAGAACAGGATAGGAGGTGACAACTGATGACCAGATACCTGGAGTTTAATACGACTTACTCTAATTTCCTTTCTGGAGGAAAGACATCCCATGCTCCAAAGAGAATGCTGAGTGTGCTAAATGCACGTCTGGGCTTGGTCTCCGATGGCTTTACAAGAAAGTGAAGTGCCCACTGTCTAACTAACTGGCCCAACAGTGGGACCACCACTGACACAGCTGTGCTCCGAGCAGAGGATGGCTCAAAGCTCTGCTCTCACTGAGCACACAGAGTGGGCAGCTCCTGTCCTCCTTGTGTGGGTAAAAGCACCAGGTCATGGCCCCTTCCCCCACAGTCAAGAAAGGCTGGAGGGACCTTTCACTGTAGGCATCCCTCAGTGACCACCCACCCTGAGGCCACCTTCTGGAATGCCTCCCAAGGTCCGATTGAGAAGTCTGCTGATGTTTCCACACTCTCTAGGAAGCAACGTTAGGTTTCTGTTCGGATTTCTCCCTGTTCCTGCTCCAATGTGGATGGAGCCTCTTCTGATGGTAGAACCCCGGTTGGAAATGTTGTGCAGGGAACACCCAGAACTTCTCCAGGAGAGGAAACGGCAAGGCGGTTCCTGAGACTATGACCTGCAGGAGCGAATGTGGAAATGGCCTACTTCGATCTGTTTCAATATGTCCAGGACTCTGGAGTGGTAGAACCCCGGTTGGAAATGTTGTGCAGGGAACACCCAGAACTTCTCCAGGAGAGGAAATGGCAAGGTGGTTCCTGAGACTATGACCTGCAGGAGCGAATGTGGAAATGGCCTACTTCGATCTGTTTCAATATGTCCAGGACTCTGGAGGGGAGAGCTAGGTAAGTTCTCCTGAGGCCAAGTGTGCAGGCGTGGCCTCCAAGGACAGTCCCAAGCCTTCTTGTGTTTTTAAGCCAACGTTACTCCCCATCCTGCCATGGATGCGGGGGAGAGGGCTGCAGTACAGTGCCTTTTGTAGTCGAGGTATCTTGCAGTTGAGTAATGCTTTATTATTGGGGAGGGGTGGTGTCAACTTAGCCAACCCCGGGATGACAGAAGGTGCCTTCACAAACAGCCACTAACGATGGTGTCAGCATCAGCCTGAAGTCCTTGGAGCAACTGTCCCTAACCCACAGCCATGGTCACCGGGAGGATTGGGACCACCAACACTTTATCACTGAGGGGGGAGCGGTGAGCGTTGACCCTGACGGGACCACCCCTCATGAAGAGAATGGGCTGTGATCCTCTTGGCATTTGGGCTGCACGTGTAGAACCTAAACTGGGAAAAGCCTGGAGGCATCTTTCACAGCATCAAGTCAAATGTGGCTGAGTGCCACTCCACCCTCAGACATCAACTGCTTGGCCCACAAGGCACCACGCTCAACTGCTGTCCTGGAAGGAGGTCTGAGGTGTGTGGGGGGACCCCCGAGGGCTGCGGGCAGTGAAACCACCAGAACCTGGGTCCTGGAAAGGGAGGGTCTGAGGTGTGGCGACATGAATATGGATCAACTCAGGAATCCCTGTTGAACTGAAGGGTTGGGGTGTGGCGAGTAGTGTAATGCACTCTGGGTACAGAAATCAGACATTCGCACACCAGACACAGCGACCAGGAGGGAGCTCTTCCACTTACATTCAGGAGAACTCCCCAGCCACATGGGCCTCCTATGGCTTCCACCAAACCCCGTATCTGTGCGACTCCTCCCCCACCCCGGTCTCCAAACAGCACAGCCAAGCTCTAGGTCTTGGCTGCCGAAATATATGAAAACTGGACTGTACAGGGGAGGCCGAGAAAAACCTTAGGATACTGAATACACCACTGAGATGAGCTAGTTTACAGTGTGACTTAAGGAGCAAAAAGGGCAAGTAAAAAACAAAACTCCAAAATATAAGTTATAGACATTCAGTGCCTCCCAGCAGGGTCTAAATCAAAATTGAACAAAACAAAACAAACCCTCAACAAAAAGTTAAAAAACTGCTAAAATGTTAAGGAAAAAAATTAAGGGGTGGAGACAGTATCTATACTTCTCTGAAAAATGAAGAATTTTTTTTTCTCTCTTATATTAAAAAGCAAAAAAGTCAGCTTTATATTCTTAAAGTCTCCTTTCCTGATTTGGGGAGATAGATAGGTGTGTTTCTAAGGCGGCCACCCTGGGACACCCAAGGGGTATCACGAAGGCAGCAGCTCAATGCCCTGAAGGTGAACGAGAAACAAAAGTCCAGTGCAGAAACTGTCCATCTGATGCAGTCTGGAGAATCCATGGCAGAGCAGCTGGGGGCAGGGACTGGCACAATGGGATGGGGGGTAAGGGGGAAGGAGGGAAAGGGGAGTAGGGGGTGAAGGACAGAGAGCGTCAAGTCACTTCAGATCTCAGCTGCCTGAACATTTCACAACATCAGCTTTCTACCAATCTGCACACCTGAAAATGGAGTCTTTTAAAGCCCCCTTACCAAGAAAAGGAGGTGAAACATCTCCCTCCTTCCCAATCGCTCAGCTTTCCTGACACACCCAGTTCAATGCACACGCACCCGTGAGCAGGCGTGCATACATGCACCAGGGTCGTATGTGTGTGCATGCGTGTGCAAAGCTTCTCTGGCCATGCAGATGAGCACAGAGCCCCCACATCCACGGCATGCATGTTCAGACACGCACACACGTGTGTGGGTGTGTACACACATGCACACACACACTGAAAAAAAGCACTTAAGTTCCCAGGGGGCATTTATAATGAGGTCCACAGTGTTTAGAACTTAAATTCCTTTTTTTTCGTTTGTGACAGTGTTGTGTGTGTTTTTTTTCTAATGTTCTCTTCTCTTTTTTTCTTTTTTTTTTCCTCAAAGTAAAGTCTTAAAGCATGTTGGATTTCAGAAACATGAGTTTGTTCATATCTTCTGGACTGAGCAGTCGCCTCCTTTTGATGAGAAGTGCTTGTTCACACATATTTACACACCCGCTCCGGGCCCCCACGGCTGGAACAGCTAGGAGCCAGAAGGCGAGTTTGGCGAGTTTTGTGTGCTTTTGGGTCACGCACGACCAGTACTGGAAGAGATCAGGGGTAGCCTGGAAGAGGGGCTCCTGCAGGTAATCATACACTTCATTTTTCCCCAGCCGATCGTCTTCCTGAGCTGTGGGGTTCTCACCTGTGGCAGAACGGGGCTTCTTGGCAGTGGGCTCGAAGTCGGCTTCCTCGGTCCAGGACTCCTTGACCTCGTTGATGAGCTCACAGACCTTGCCGATGATCTCCTCGTGCTGGTAGGGCGGCACAGGACGCAGTTTCTGCTGTGGGTCCAGGATCATGGCCACCTTGTGGGCTGGGTGCACTTTGAAATTCTCCTTGAGGGCCTCCAGGAAGAGATGGCACAGCTTACTGACAGTGCCTGCATCGTTGGCCTTGGCCGTGAACAGCTTCTCCAGCCTGACGTAGGTGGGGAGCACCAGCTGCAGGGTGGGCTGGCTCTCATTGCTCAGCTCGATGACTGCCTGCTTCACTGGTGTCAGGATGGCTGCCAGGTTGCTGAGCAGATGCTTGTTGAGGCTCTGGATGAGGTTCATCTTCTTGGCCCGGCTGTAGAATTCACAGATCTGTTCGTAGCGCTCATGTACCAGCAGCAGCGAGTCCGTCACCGAGTTCCAGCAGGGCGGAGGTGATGTTTCCTCCAGCGACCCAAAAGTCTCCTTGGCGAGGCCCGTGGAGCCAGCCAGGTCCTCGCACACGTTGAGCAGCTCGATGACCTCATGCATGCTGCGGGCCTGCAGTGTCCGCTTGCTCAGCACGCTCTGCACCACCGAGTTCAAGGCACAGGCTGAGCAGCGAAGGCACATGCCGGCCTTAGAAAAGGCGGACGCGCTCACCCGGCAATCTGTCACGTACACTGTCCTGATCTCCGACATCACAAACTCTGACAGCACGTTCTGCACCCAGTGGTGCACCAGGTCACCACTGTCACGAATGTCTGCGCCCTTCACGCCCAGAACGTAGCTTTTGATGTGGTTGCCCTCGGCTTGGTAGGCTGTGAGGATATAGCAGGAATCGGGGCCAACACTCTGCGAGTGGCAGGTGACACCAATGCCCAGGCAGGCGTTGCTGCCCAAGGCACAGGTCACCTTCACCTTTACCTGGTTGTACATGCGCGGCAGGTGCTTCAGAGCCAGTGTGTTGAAGTTGCCCAGGATCTCAGTGACCGAGAAGGCCCCGTAGCGGGCGCCACTGTCTACCAAGGTCTGGGCCAACTTCAGGAACTCCTTCCCGCTGACCACGCTCAGTGCACCCAGGTCAGCGCACATGACCCGCAGCAGCCGCTCTGCAATGTTTTGCCGCTCCTTCTCGGGGATCATGCTGTTGGGTGGTAAACCACTGGTCGCAGCTGGCCAGAGACACAAAGAGAGATGTGATTAATTCCAGCATTCAAGGCTGTTTGGTCTGGCAGCAGCGAAATACTCTAAGAATCCAGTATTAGGAATGACAAATAGATTCCATCTTGCACACAAATTGGTGGTGTTGGCTGCTTTTATCCAGAGACACAAAGAGAGATGTGATTAATTCCAGCATTCAAGGCTGTTTGGTCTGGCAGCAGTGAAATACTGTAAGAATCCAGTATTAGGAATGACAAATAGATTCCATCTTGCACACAAATTGGTGGTGTTGGCTGCTTTTATTGTATGATGGGATCACAGTAATAACTTTCTATGATTGATATGTAACGGCTGCCATGGGCATGGAAATAGAATATAGTGGTATGTGTGTAACATACTTGCTGTATGTGTCATTCACCTAGACCTGTGACACCAACTAGCCTAACCTTCTCTATAACATACAGATCTTCAATGATTAAAATATGTGAGGCCATAGAGTCAGGAAAGAGCAGCCAACAGAAATTGTGGAGAGGTGAGTTCTAGCACTAATTGGTGATTCTGGCACTAACTCGTGCTTTCTGACTATAAAAAAATCACCTCCTCTCCCTGGTCTGACTCCTGCCCATCTTGAGTTAAGAATTCCTGCAAACAAGGTCTTACGTGTAAAAGTGCTTTGGAAACTGTTATGCCTCATCTTGCATCATCACAGGAAGCACAGGTGGTAGGAGTGGGGGCAGAGGGGAACAGCCAGAGAGGGGGCTGGCAGGACCTCCACAACCCCCCTGGCTCCAGCCCTGGTGGAGGAGACCTACTGTTGTTGGCGCTGTTCCTCTGGGCCTGAGGTTTCCACTTCTCTTCCACAACAGCAGGTGGTGATCGGGACTGGTTGGAGGTGATGTTGTTTTCATTGTCAGCTGTGGGCACAACGGGGACAGTGTGTCACCTTGAAGGGTAAGAGGACGGTTGACAGACAAGTACTAGAGTGTAGTGGGTAAAAGTACAACGTGGCCTCTGGGACTCAGGCCTGGGTTAAAATCCTGGCTCCTCCTTAGACAACTGTCTATGCTTGCAAAGCCTCTTTCCATCATCTGAAAAAATGAAGATAACCCCACAGACATTGCACAACTGCTGGAAAAACTAACAAGAGACAGTGCAGGCAAGACTGAGAGCACAGTGCCTGGTACAGAGTAAGTGCTCAGAAAATGGGAGTCACATGTCCTGAGCCTGGCTGGGGACCTCACACCTACACACAACTGCAAAGTCCTTGCTCTGAAATGGGGGGCAAGGGAGTGCCAGTTATACCCCAAGTGACCAAAAGCACCTCACACTCCCTTCTTTAAAGTGTGCTTTTTTGTCTTCTCAGTATATTTACTAGAAATTTAATTAAATGAACAAAAACAAAGCCAAAGCCCCACATGACATGAAATCCTAAATTCTCAAACCCCTCACTGTAAGATGCGGAAACAGAAGTCGAGAGAGAAGAAAGGATTTGCCCAAGATCAAACAGAAAACGGTGGCAGGGTTGGGACATAAGACCAGGTCCCTGGCTGCTGGATGCTTCCTCCATATATTTCTCTAGTTTTTGTTAATTTGCATATAAGCAATTGTATCCAGTTATAAATAACTGCCATATGCCTATTCTCCTCTATGCATTGCTACTCCTTGACCTTTTCATAGAATCACTTCTGAATAGAAATGGTCTGAGTCACGTTCCTGTCATTACAAATGCCCACACAGACTTCTATCGTACAATATACCTCACCTTGCTAACCATACTTCTCGTACAATATACCTCACCTTGCTAACCATTCTTCAAGTGCTAGGTTTCTGGTCTCTGCTGTTTCCAGTGTTGCAATTTGCTATGAACCTAGCTGCCTAATTATGATATTGTGCAAAAACAAGGGTACTTCAAAAAGTTTGTGGAAAGATTCGTATTATCTTTCGATTCTATTTTTCCACAAACTTTTTGAAGTACCCTCATACACATTTTGGTCTTTATCCCTGGTTCCTGGCACAAAGCTACTAAAATGCTTGTAATTTCCCAAGTGATTGAACTTTCATACCCCACCCCCTGACTTCTGGGAAGGGGAGGGACTACACGTTGAGTTGATCACCAATGGACAGTGTTTTAATCAATTGTGCCCATGTAATGAAGTCTCCATAAAAACCCAAAAGGATGGGGTTTGGAGAGCTTCTGGGCTGGTGAACACCAGTGGAGGTGCTGGAAGGATGGCATGCCGGAAAGGGCATAAGAGCTCTGTGCCACTTCCCATATCCCATGCCCTATACATCTCTTCCATTGGCTGTTTCTTAGTTGTATCCTTTTAATAACATAGTGGTCGTCTAGTAAGAAAATGGCTTTCCTGAGCTCTGTGAGCCATTCCAGCAAATGATCAAATCTGAAGAGGAGGTTGTGTGAACCTCGGATTTATAGCTGGCCAGTCAGATGCACAGATGACAACCTAGACTTTGGACTGGCATCTGACGTAGGGGCAGTCTTGTGGGATGGGTCCTTAACTTGAGGATCTGATGCTATCTCCAGAAAGACAGTGTCAGAATTGAGTTAAACATCTAAAAGGCTAAAAATAAAGGAACAGAACATGAACAATGTCAAGCAGTTTAATACACACACATACAAACTGAAAGTCCTAGAAAAAGGGAACGAGGCAGAAAATTTCAAAGAAACGGCTGACATTTTTTCAGATTGGATGAATACTATAAAGCTAGATTCAAAAAGCTCAATGTACCCCAAGCAGAATAAATATAAAAAAAAATCACTTATGCACAGCATCATAATCAATTGTTGAAAACCAATGAAAAGAGAAAATCTTAAAAGTAGCTGGGGAGGGGAAATTATGTACAGACAAACAAAAATAAGAACAACAACAGACTCTGCCTCAGAAATTATGCAATCCAGATGGCAATAGAATAAAGTACTAAAAAAAAAAAATTGTCAACCTAAAATTCTAAACCCAGTGATAATATCCTTCACAAAGGAAGATAAAATAAAGACTTCCAAAAAAAATCAGACCAGCTTTATAAAAATACTAACGGAAGTTCTTCAGGTCTAAGAAAAAAATGACATCAAATATGAATCTGGATCTACAAAAAGAAATGAAGGGTGCTGGAAACTACACCTGTGGGTAAATTTTTAAAATGTTTCTCCTTATTTTTAACCTCTGTAAAAGATACTCAGTGGAAAATAATAACAATGAATTACAGCAACTGTATAGAAAAGTAAACTGGGGCCGGCCCAGTGGCGCACTGCTACAGGGTTCGGACCCCACATACAGACCGGCTGCTCACTGGCTGAGCGAGGTGCGGGAGCAACACGGAGGGTTGCGATCCCGTTGCCGGTCCTGGTCCGGTACGGGCGCGACACTGAGGGTTGCAATCCATTGCCAGTCACGAAAAAAGACAAAAAGGAAAAAAAGAAAAGTAAACTGTATGACAACAACAGCACAAAGGCCAGGATGGTGAAATAGAAGACACTGTTGAAAGGTTCTCACGCAATATGAAAAGTAGGCTAATATTATTTGAGGGTGGACCATGATAAATTAAAAATATATAGTTTAAAACCCAAATAAACCATAAAAAAACCCCTAATCAACTGTGGAGATAAAAATGAAATCATAAAAAATTTTCAATCAAAACCCAAGGAACAAAGAACAAAAGAGATGAACAGCAAACAAATAGAAAGATGTCAGATTTACATACAACAATACTGCAATTACATAAATGCAAATGGTCTCAACATTCCAAAGAAAACTCAGACATTCTCATACTTAATAAAAAACAAGACTTGATAATACACTATCTATAAGAAGCCTATTTAAAGATAAAGGCAAAGACAGATTAGAAGTAAAAGGCTGAATAAAGATATATCATGTGAGGAGTAATTTTTTTTTAAAAGCTGGGGCTCACTCCCAAGATGATGGCCCTACTGGGATCCATCCTGAGCTCTATGGAGAAGTCACTCAGCCATAGTTACCTGGAAACTTGGTGCAAAGCCCGAGAGCAGACTGCACGTCAGAAGGAAACTACAGTGCAGGAGAAACAACAGAAAGTGGAGTTTCAGAAAAGGATGGAGAAAGAACGTTAAATTTCATCCAAGGCAGTGGACAGATCAAGTAAACATTTTAGCAGATGAACAAGACAGTGAGGAGCAAACTACACAACAGGATGGAAGGAGCTGGCCTGACCTCCTTCCTTCTGCTTTGGGGAAGAACATAAATGTTGCTATGTCATGATCTTCAGAAAGGAGTTTGCACCCTCAGGTGAAGAGCTCAACACCTACCATCGTGGAGATGAGAGGGACCTCCAGAAGGCTGAAGGGAAATGGAAGCTGAAGGAGCTGGCCCAGCGGTAGGATGTAGCCCAGCAGGGACTGTGGTGGTAAGCCCACCAGCGACTACAAGGACAAGTACAGCCACCTTTTCAGCAAGGGAGCAGTCAAGGATGTGGCCCACATGCTACAGCCCAACAATATGTATGGTTGTGTGGCAGTGGCCAACAAGAAGGACACAAGCTCTTTTATGCAAATGCAAAAGACGCAGAATAGTCAAAACAATCTTGAAAAAGAACAAAGTTGGAGGACTGACACTTCCTGATTTTGAAACTACTACAAAGCTATAGTAATAAAGACAGTATGGTACTGGCTCAAGTACAGATACACAGGTCAATGAAAGAAAATTGAGAATACAGAAATAAATACTCACATTTACGGTCAACCGATTTCTGACAAGGGAACCAGGACAATTCAATGAGGGAAAGAACAGTCTTCAACAAATGGTGCTCGGACAACTGGACACCCACATGTAAAAAAGTGAAGTTGGATTCCTACCTCACACCAGATACAAAAATTAACTCAAAATGGAATATACACCTAAATGCAAGAGCTAAAACTATAAAACTCTTATAAGAAAATATAGGAGTTAAGTCTTTGTGATATTGAGCTAGCAGTGGTTTCTTAGACATAACACCAAAAGTATAAATGATGAAAGAAAAATTAGATAAGTGAGCTTCATCAAAATTAAAAACTTTTGGGCCGGCCCGGTGGCGCACTGGATAGTGCGCCGCTTGGGAAGCGCGGCGGCGCTCCCGCCCGAGGGTTCGGACCCCACATACAGACCGGTTCCCGCTCACTGGCTGAGCGAGGCGCGGGAGCAGCGCCGAGGGTTGCGGTCCCGTTGCTGGTCCCGGTCCGGTACGGGGGCGACACTGAGGGTTGCGATCCGTTGCCGGACACGGAAAAAGACAAAAAAAAAAAAATTAAAAACTTTTATACTTCAAAAAACAGCGAAAAGAAAGTGATAAGACAACCCACAGAATGGGAAAAAAATATTTGCAAATCATATATCTACAAGGGTCTTATATCTAGAATATACAAAGAACTTTTACAACTCAATAATAAAAAGATAAAAAAATAAAAATAAAAAATGGGCAAAGGATCTGAATAGACATTTTTCCAAAGAAGATGTACAAATGGCCAATAAGTACATAAAAAGATGCTTGACATCATTAATAATCAGAGAAATGCAAATCAAAACTACAATGAGATACCATTTCACATGTACTAAAATGGCCATAACCAAAATGTAAGATGATAAAAAATGTTGGCAAAGATGATGGAGAAATCAGAATCCTCATAAGTTGTTGGTGGGAATATAAAAATGGCACAGCCACTTTAGGAAACAATCTGTCAGTTCCCCAAGTGATTCAACATAGAGTTACCAGATGACCCAGCATCGCCACTCCTAGTTACATACCCAAGAGAGTTAAAGACATGTCCACACAAGGACTTGTACATGAATGTTCACAGAAGCTTTATTCTTAATAGCCCCAAACTGGAGATCCAAATGTCCAATTGGTAAATGGATAAACAAACTGTGATATATGTAAACAAAGGAACACTAGCCAGCAATATAAAAGAATTACTGATAACAGAACATGGATGAATATCAAAAGTACACTAAGAGAAATAAGTGAGACATAAAAGACTAAATACTGCATAACTCCACATATATAAAATTCCAGTACAGGCAAAACTATAGTGAAGGAAAGAAGACAGAGGTTGCCAGGAGTTGGTGAAAGGGATTGGTTGCAAAGGGGCATTAGGGAATGTTTCAGGTTAATGGTTATGTTACATATGTTGATTGTGATGGTAGTTAAATAACTATACATTTGTCAAAACCCATCAAACTGTACTCTTAAAACTGGTACATTTTATTTATGTAAATTGTCTTAATAATCTGATGGGCAACACTGAGGGTTGCAATCCGTTGCCGGACACGGAAAAAGACAAAAAAAAAAAAATTAAAAACTTTTATACTTCAAAAAACAGCAAAAAGAAAGTGATAAGACAACCCACAGAATGGGAAAAAAATATTTGCAAATCATATATCTACAAGGGTCTTATATCTAGAATATACAAAGAACTTTTACAACTCAATAATAAAAAGATAAAAAAAAAAAAAATGGGCAAAGGATCTGAATAGACATTTTTCCAAAGAAGATGTACAAATGGCCAATAAGTACATTAAAAGATGCTTGACATCATTAATAATCAGAGAAATGCAAATCAAAACTACAATGAGATACCATTTCACATGTACTAAAATGGCCATAACCAAAATGTAAGATGATAAAAAATGTTGGCAAAGATGATGGAGAAATCAGAATCCTCATAAGTTGTTGGTGGGAATATAAAAATGGCACAGCCACTTTAGGAAACAATCTGTCAGTTCCCCAAGTGATTCAACATAGAGTTACCAGATGACCCAGCATCGCCACTCCTAGTTACATACCCAAGAGAGTTAAAGACATGTCCACACAAGGGCTTGTACATGAATGTTCACAGAAGCTTTATTCTTAATAGCCCCAAACTGGAGATCCAAATGTCCAATTAGTAAATGGATAAACAAACTGTGATATATGTAAACAAAGGAACACTAGCCAGCAATATAAAAGAATTACTGATAACACAGAACATGGATGAATATCAAAAGTACACTAAGAGAAATAAGTGAGACATAAAAGACTAAATACTGCATAACTCCACATATATAAAATTCCAGTACAGGCAAAACTATAGTGAAGGAAAGAAGACAGAGGTTGCCAGGAGTTGGTGAAAGGGATTGGTTGCAAAGGGGCATTAGGGAATGTTTCAGGTTAATGGTTATGTTACATATGTTGATTGTGATGGTAGTTAAATAACTATACATTTGTCAAAACCCATCAAACTGTACTCTTAAAACTGGTACATTTTATTTATGTAAATTGTCTTAATAATCTGATTTTAATATAGACTGTAAAGAAACCCATTAAATTGGTAGCAATGATTAGCTTTGAATAGTGAGATTATGACTGATTCTTCATTTTCTAACTTTTCTGCATTTTTCCAGTACAGAGAATGCATTTCCTTTACCAGACAGACATTACATTTACAAAGGGGAAACAAATTTTACAATGAAAAGCAGCCTTACTGTGGACTTTATCCACCAGAATACAGAGATCTGAAAGCCCTTGCTCATTGTGAACCCAACTCTGTCATGGCTGTGGGGTGTGACACTGAGTTAGTCACTTCAACTTTCTGGGCATCAGTTTCTCCTCCCCCATCCAAAATGCTGGGGCTGGATAAGTTGCAGAGTAATTCTCTTACTCTCTGCCCTTCCACAATACTTGGAATTGTGATTATTCAACCTAGCATTAGACAACCATGTCTAGTATTGGTTGATTTAGACATTCGTTTTCTCCGTACCCACAGATCCTGCTCTTGATACAAGTGAGATACTCAGTAAAAGCTCTGTGAAAAGGTGATTCATAGATTGAGATGAAAATAAGGCTTACTTCATGTGGCTATCCCTGTGTGCCCTCACACACACACACACACACACACACACTCTCTCTCTCTCTCTCTCTCTCTCTCTCTCTCTCTCCAAAAAATTCGTGGAAAAGAAGAATTAGAAGATAACACAAATCTTTCCATGAGCTTTGTGAAGTACCCTTGTACATCTAAAGGGCTGGATACAAAGCTAGAGTAAAGGCTGTTTCCCAGAGAGACCACCGCAGGGAGGAGAAAGCAGGTATTTTGGACAGGAGGCGGAGGAAGATGCACCTGCTGCTATTGGGTCTTAGAACGCACCACAGCCCTCAATACTTTACATGTCATCTCTGGCACCCTCACCCAATGCTGTGGAGAATATTGATAAACCCACTTCACAATGAAGCCCAGAGGGGCGAAGTGGCTCAAAGGGATTAGAACCAGGTGTGTACACCACCTAAACCCTAACACCGAGAGCTGCCAATTTGTTTGCCACCTGGAAAGTCCCCACGCCCCTCCGAGCTGCAGCCCTTCTGACTATACTTTAAGAAGGGGCCTGGAAGGGGTGATCTCTGAGGGAGTCATCTCCACTGATCTTCAGGAAGGTCCACCTGCGGCTGCACAGGGTGGAGATTGCACGTACAGGATCTGGAGTTCACTTGCAAGGTTAGGCTATACTTTAAGAAGGGGCCTGGAAGGGGTGATCTCTGAGGGAGTCATCTCCACTGATCTTCCAGGAAGGTCCACCTGCGGCTGCACAGGGTGGAGATTGCACGTACAGGATCTGGAGTTCACTTGCAAGGTTAGAATCTTGGTCTGCCACTCTGATTGCATAGCCTTGGGCAAGATACTTAACCACCTGTGCCTCAGTTTCCTCTTCTGTAAAGTGGAGCTAATACGAGCGCTTAACTCACAGGGTTGTTCTGAAGATTAAATCAGTGATTACATGGTAAAACTCTGAGAACAAGGCCTGGCACCAAGTAAAACTAGCTAACACCAAAGGATGTTAGGTAGTTTTTAAGAGCTATGCAACTTTGGGCCGATGATTATGTTCTCCGAGCCTCAGTTTCTTCATCTGTATGATGAGGATGAAAATGTCAACTACCTAATAGGTTCATTCAGGAAGATGTGATGAAATAACCTATGTAAAGCTCAAAGACACACAGTAAGAACTCACTAAATGTTAGCCATCTTTAGTATTATTAACACCTAAGCACACTCCTGAACTGTCACCAGGGCAAGATAGATTTTCCTTCAGCACAGAAAAGGAAGTTTATCAGTGCAAATTACCCTGTGCCATTCAGCAGTCTCTTAATGAGATTGGTGTGATTCGAGGCTGATCCTCCTTATCAGCGGCACTGTGAACTGTGCAGCTCATGACGCTTAATTTCTCTCTATGGAGCCAATCCTTTAATCCCAATTCAGCCTGGCTGGGATTCAGCCTGGCTTTGCACTGGATTGCCAGTGAGGTATTCTTTGGCAGCACTGGACCAGAACAAAGCAGCCCACAGCTCCTCCCGGAAAACAAGTCAAGGTGCTTGGGAGAGGTGGGGCTGACTCAAGGCTCGCGTCCATTTGCATTTTAATAGCCTCGTCCTCCAGCTGCCCAGGGATGGGAAAGCTTCAGCACCCAGACTCTTCCCTAATTACTGCTCGGCTTCCAGAAGCTAGCAGGGGGCAGGTGGAGTGCCAGGCTGTGGGAGTCTCCAGACTAAGCAGGCTTCCAACTGCTGTCACTAGTATTGGGCTCCTGGTTCCCCACGGTTTGAGTCTAAATGCCTTGAGCTGGCATTCCAGGCCTTCCCTGGTAAGGAATGTTGATGGCAAAGACCTGCGGGATGCACTTGTCACAGAAGCTTGGTGTGAGGATGGCAGCTGGAGATTTGGGGTTCACGTGCCCTTATTTCAGAGATAAAGACAGCTTCCTGCCTGAGGCCACACAGCACCAAGGCACACCAGTTAGAGCAGGACTGGAACTCAAGTGTCTTGGCTGCTACTCCAGAGCTCTGTCCTGATTTTAAAGAAGTCATTAGAAATAAATAACAGACTGCCCCCCGCAAAGATCATGTGAATTAGTGACTGCTGTACAGCACACACCCAATGAATATATACGCTGAAAGAGTGAGTGAATGAATGAATGAGTGAATGAATGGAGGGCAGGCTAACAGAACAGTGCCCAGCCTAAAAGAGATTCTAGTCCTGTAATGCTCTGCCCTAGTTGGGCCAGACCTGGAGTATACGAAAGATTTGTGAGCCTGAGAGGAATACAAATAATAATACTAAAAACAACAACCGTAGAAATAACAGCAGCTACCAATTACTGAACCACCCTTATGTGTCAGGCACTTTCCACACATCATTTCTATACCTCTAGAGAATTACACTGAGGGAGCGGGTGGAGGGACAGCTAGCTGCTTCCCCCAGATTCCTGTTTACCTTTGCAGTGTCCACCTGTCCCCAGGCAGTGGCTCTGGAAGGTGAGAGGGGAGAAGAGCTGCATCCCCCATGGGCCGCTGGGCCCCTTACCTGCGTGGGACTGCATGTGCTCCAACAGGTTGTTGTAGAACTGGAACTGGATCCCACAGGCGCCACAGGTGTAGGGTTCTGTGGGGAGAGAGGGGGACGCCGTGTGAGGGGCAGAAGAAACCCGGACGCCTTTCTGCTGGGCTGCAGGCAGCTTTGAAAGTGGGAACCCAAACACGCACTGGGTCTCTGTACACACGTGGGGTTCTGGGTCTAGCCTGACTCCCCTGTCACTAAACCAGTAAGGGAAAGACTGGGGGGAGGAAGGAGCGACGGTGAGAGGTAGACATGTGGATAGAGACTGCCTGATTCAATCGAGCAGATATTTATTGAGTGCTTACTGTGTGCCAGGCGCTGTGCTGGGCACCTGGGATGGGCACGGGGGGAGAACATCAGTGGACCAAGAGCTCTTTTAGGCCAGAGGCCATGCCTCAGCTGCTCCCCGCCAGCTCCCCACCTGTGCAGCCACACAGAGGTCACTGTTTGCCGAGTGAACAAATGAATGAATGTATGCACGAACCAAAAACAAGAACAACGAAAGCACAGCAAAGGGAGGGGAAAAGAAGAGAAAAGGGTAAGAAGTGGAGAAAGCCAAAGAAAAGCAAGAGGATTCGGGCATAAGATGGTGAAAGGGAAGACGGAGGGAGGAAGGATGAAAGCTGGCGCAGAGGAGTAGGACCGAGGGTACGAATGGCCTTTCCCTTCAGCTCTGTGTTCCCAGCACTCACGTCAGTGCCCGGCAGAGAGGGGGGAGGAGAGGAAGGAAGAAGGGAAAGGAAGCGGGTGGAAAGAACAAGGAAGAGAGAGGGAAGAGGCTGAGATGGCACTCTGAAGAGGGGTCCTGAGGCTGCCCCATGACCAGGAATGGGAAGGCCTGTGTTCCTGCCAGGGTCCAAACTCCCCCACCCACCTGGGGCTGGGCCCTCCGTCTGCTCTGCCAGCTGCTGGTCTGCCCGAGAGGGACGAGAGCCTGTGGCCGGCTGACTTCATTCCCTGCCCTGCCTTGCCCTCTCCAGCCCCCCGCCGGGCCCTCACTTACTCTGCAGGAGAGGGAAAGGATTGGAAATCAGGGGACTTGCAGTTTCTGCAAAAGAGAAACAGTTTAGCTAAGTCTCTTCCAGTTCTGCAGTTCTGTGATGATCATTATTTCTATTCTTAATAACCAGCGAGCCAGATAGGGCTCTCGGAGGAGAGGGAGCATCTGAGAGCCAGGCTCACAGTCAGGGGGCTGGGGGGCCAGGGGGAGGCCTGACACAAAGGCCACTCCCTTTAGAAAATCTGGGTTTCCTGTGGGTGCTGGGGCCACTGGTCAGGGCGATAAGGCAGGACCATCCTTCTAGGACACCCTCAACTCTGAAAGAGCCAGGCCACGTGAGGAGCAATGAGAAAATGTCCTTGTGTGGCCACTGCCTACTGCAGGACAGGGAGCTGGAAGACTTCTAGGACACCCTCAACTCTGAAAGAGCCAGGCCACGTGAGGAGCAATGAGAAAATGTCCCTGTGTGGCCACTGCCTACTGCAGGACAGGGAGCTGGAAGCTGCTTCCAGGCTCTGGCACCAGAATGGGAATGTTTGGTACCAAACACCAGAGCAGCCACAGAGAGGAGCTGTGCATGGAGGGCTTCTGCTTGCTGGCATTTCCCCCACCTCCTGGCACTGCAGAGGCACGGCTGGCGACTCACACACAACGGGAAGCAAAGCGGGGCCACGTGGACCAAATGGGGAATCCTGGCTCCACCGCTTACAGCCTGGGGGACTAGGGGCAACAATCAACCTCTCCTGAGCCTCAGTTTCCTCATCCGAAAAGTGG